CGCGGAGCCCAAGTAAATGGAAGTTCACAAATTGAAAATTCTTCTTCTTCTAGCAAACTCCTCCCTCCCTAGCTCTGTCTGTTCTGTGTCATCGTTGAACACGTCGGGAGGGGGAGGTGCGCGCCCGCGCACACACACACACACACACACACACACACACACACGCATCCGTGCACGCACACGCACAAAACCTCGGAATACATGAGATCTCCCTCTGCAGCAAGAAACGAACCAGCAGGCTGTTTCTTTATTTACTGAAACAGCCAGTTAAGAGATGCTTGACAACAGGATCCCAGAATTTTAGACTTTTCCATTTACGTGAGTCTGGGTTCGTGGATAAGACATTCCAAATCGGCATCTGCCTTGCTAAGTCCTCTCTGGCTGTTTCCTGTCATGGGGCATAATGCCGGCCAGGTGCACCCGAGTTGCCGTTTGAGATACTGAAAACTTTTCTGTCTGTGGGAAGCTTGGCGGCTCATTTAACCAGGTTAAAGGGGAGGCTTGAGGATGGCTCGGTGCCAGAGTGAAGGGGGCTGGTCAGGAGCATGTGATCAAGGCAGGAGCCCATTCAAGGCCTCTGGGGTCTGGTGAGGCCAGACCAAGAGTTGGGGACTGGCAACAGGAGAGCCCACACCAAAGGTGGCCCCAGCCTCACACTCCACTCCACCAAGAGCAGGAGACGAGGCGAGCTTCACGTGGGGCCCCTCTGTGGTCACACTGTGCCCCACTGAGAAGGGCTTGATTTAATGCTCTGTTGTCCTGCCGGCTCGAAATGGTTGGTGATTCTAGGACAAAGGTATTTTCATTTTGCACTGGGCCCTGCAAACGGCTGGTCTTGTCCAGAGGAGGCTTCGTCATGCCTGTACCCGCCAGCCACGCCAGCCACAGGACATTTGCTATTCATAGAGGGAAGGGCTTGCTCGGAAAATCTAGAAGGAAGTCAGGTGGGCCCTTCCCTGCTGTGGCAGGCGGGTGTGTTGGCTGTGGTGGAGTCATGGTAAGGGTGTTATCCTCACAGGAAGCAGAAACCAGAACCGTGCATTCAAATGTCTCTGAGGAAAATTTTAGCAAGTAATCGACTGGCCACGTGATGCCCTGAGCCCCTCGCTTCCCCCATTTTCTGACCAGTCCTGAGAACAGAACCAAGAGGCTGAAGAAGGAAGCAGAGAAGTGCTAAGAAATACAGAAGAGGGGGATGTGGTGAGCGGCCCCTGGGGGAGGGGTTCCAGCTGCAGCAAGAGAGACACCCAGAGGGACGGGGCCATGTGGCTGCCATCGGCTTTGCTGCTGCTCTCTGTCCCAGGTGAGCGGGGCTGGGCGCAGGTCTGGGTGACAACGGTGTGGGGAAAGGTTGGTGATGGGGAAGGGAAGAGATGAGGACACAAGCAAAGAGAGGAAGGGGTGAGCTCGGAAAAACCTCACCCAAACGAAGAGGAAGAGGAGTTGATGGTAAGCTGATGCTTCCCACAGGTGAGCACGTACTGAGCCCTAAAGATATTGGCTATTTTAATCCTGATGACCACCATTTTGAAAATCAAGAAGGCTGTTTTTTAAAAAAAATGTTTATTTATTTATTTATTTTTGAGAGAGAGAGAGAGAGAGAGAGAACAGACGTGGAGGAAAGGCAGAGAGAGAGGGAGACAGAATCCCAAACAGGCTTCGTGCTGCCAGCGCAGGACCTGACATGGGGCTCGAACCCACAAACCGTGAGATCATGACCTGAGCCAAAATAAAAAGCTGGACACTTCACCAACTGAGCCACCCAGGCACCCCGTCTTTTTTTTTTAAGTAGGCTCCACGTTGGGCGTGAGGTTTGAATTTACAACTCTGAGATTAAGACCTGAGCTGAGATCAAGAGTTGGACGCTCAACAGACTGAACCATCCAGACACCCCAGGAATAATGTCTTATGCACCAGGCCAGGGCGAGGGGAGCAGAGAGCTAATACTAATTGGGCTAATCGATGTGTTCACCCAGTTTTCCCCATAATCTAATCCAATTTTTATTGCAATCCTATGAAAACAGGAGACCATGATGCAGAGACAGGCAAATAATTTACCCTAGACCAATTCATGCAAGGCAACCAAAGTTCAAAGAGAATACGTTTATTGCCAAGATCACTGCTCTTCTTATAACAATTATAGTCAAGGTCATCACTTTTTAAAAATAATACAATGGTCACTTACTACATAAGCCTCCTTGTGAATAGCTGTTCATGTATCCCAGGTGCTGATGCACCCCCCATGGGGGGTTCTGTGCCTCCAACAGGTCTGGGCTGGCCCCAGGGGCCCTGCACTGTGAGCTGCTGGATGGTGACACTGCTGGAAACTTGTCCATCCTTGTCTGAGAGTTTCCATAAATGATGTTTCTCTCTTTTTTGTTTTTAAACACGAAGGACACTATTTTGTTATAAAAGGGGAAAGAATCAAGACAACTCACCAGTTTGCTCTGATCCTGTGGAAACACAAATGTAGCAATTAGAAATCAGAGTAATCCAATGTCAGTGCTAACCGTCAGAGCCCAAGGAGGAAAAATCTTTATTTCATTAATCCCATTTCCCCACCTCTAGCTGTATTAATCAAGGTGCACCAAAACCCTTAAAAATATCACTCCCATGAGATTGAGCCCTGAGTCAGGCTCTGTGCTGATAGCATGGAGCCTGCTTGGTATTCTCTCTCTCTCTCTCTCTCTCTCTCTCTCTCCCCCCTCCCCCACTCGTGCTCTTTCCCTGTCTCTCAAAATAAATAAACAACAAAAAAGACCCTTAATATAAATATCACTCCCAAAATAGGACACTAAAACTCAGAACATAAAGATACTCTGCGTGATAAAGCTGAACAGAAAAACGCACTTTAGACTTTTAAAACTTGACCAACTTTTAAATAATATTGCTTTACAGAGATTATTTAATTTAAAAAATTTAGGGGCACCTGGGTGGTTCAGTCAGTTAAGTGACAGACTCTTGATTTCGGCTCAGGTCATGATCTCACAGTTCATGGGTTCAAGCCCCCATGTTGGGCTCCGTGTTGAAAGCTCAAAACCTGCTAGGGATTCTCTTTCTCTCCCTCTCCCCCCCCTCTCTCTTTCTGCCCTTCCCCTGCTTGGTCTCTCTCTCAATAAATAAACTTTAAAATAATAATAATGATAATAATAATAAATTTAAAAACTAATGCACATTCTAAACATCCAGTTTTGGTAATCAAGATAAAGTAATTTTATTACAAATTTCAGGATCTAAAAGTAATTTGTTACATTTACTAAGATAAATCTGAAATGGCCTGTATCAAGCATGTGTGTCCTGCATAGTGACCCTGTGATCCTCAGGCATGAAAAGACACAGTCCCACCCCTCCCCCTTTATTGATGTGATCAGCCAGGTGAAAAAAAATTATGCTGAGTCTCAACTAGTACATACTGATTAGGATCATTTTGGTTTATCACTCTGGCATTTAGATTATGAAGAGTTCAGGGAAAAAAGCCTCATTCTTGAATTCTGATAAGCCAAACTAAAGTCTCAAGGGTGGCCTCCAGAAATTCAAGGTTCTCTTTTCCTACTTATTTCAATAATACTTAGGAGATTTTCTGTATTTATTTATTTTTGTTTAAAAAAATTTTTTTAATGGGGGCGCCTGGGTGGCTCAGTCAGTTAAGTGTCCGACTTCAGCTCAGGTCATGATCTCACAGTCTGTGAATTCAAGCCCCACGTCGGGCTCTGTGCTGACAGCTCAGAGCCTGGAACTTGCTTCTGCTTCAGATTCTGTGTCTCCCTCTCTCTCTGCACCTCCCCTGCTCATGCTCTGTCTCTCTCTCTCTTTCTCTCTGTCTCAAAAATAAATAAAAACATTAAAAAAATTTTATTTAAAAATTTTTTTAATGTTTTTATTTATTTTTGAGACAGAGAGAGAGAGAGGGGAGAGGCAGAGAGAGACAGCGAGACACAGAATCCGAAGCAGGCTCCAGGCTCCAAGCTGTTAGCACAGAGACTGACAGGGGGCTTGAACTCACAGGGGGCTTGAACTCACATGCCATGAGATCATGACCTGAGCCGAGGTCAGATGCCCAATGGACTGAGCCACCTAGGGACCCTGACACTTTCTGTATTTAATAAGAGTTATAATTCAATTGGTCTGTAAGCCCAAGTCCAAAAGTCCTTGCCCCATGGCAAGAGGCCGCACAGGAGCTGGTTGACCAGTAAGACTAAGACCAGACAAAAGGAAAACACACTCACCAGGGTTGTAGACAATGACCTTCCAGCAACAGAGACAAGCCCAGCGGGATGGCCATACACAAGAGGGCCTGTGGAGACCTCAAGCTACGCCATCCTCCTGCTTCTAAAGGAGATAAATCTCTCTCTGTCTACCCGGTTACTTGCCATTACACTTAACAGGCAGGTCTCTTTTACTTTATATTTATTTCTTTTTAAGATTACCAAAGGCTTCGACTTACAATTGGAGCTGTAGGAAGCCTCTGGGGCTTGATGGGTGCAGAGCATGCACTGTCCTGTAGGATCTTAGAGAGAACCCGGGCCGGGGAGGAGCAGTGCAGCACCCCAGAGATAGCTGAGACAGCGGGGGAGAGAGCCCTCACGCTTCAGCAAGGAGAAGGTGGGGAAGAAAAACCACAAGGAGGGTTGTGGGGGCGGGGGTGGGGGAGGGGATGCCGGGCTGCCTCAGGGTCAAGGTCAGGGTCTAGGTGTAACAGAGCATCTCTAACAATGTTTTCTTACCCAGACCTGGGGAAGCAGCTCCAGATCTCGAAGGCTAGGACTTAAGCAACTGAAAGAGTAGGTAAGGTGGAAAGCCAGTCCTAAAGCGTCCCCGACCCCATCAGAAACGCAGAGAACAGCGCCCCCACAGCCTGAGCCTGGGACAGCAGCAACTGCACACGGTTCAGTGTTGTGGCTCCCAGTCCCCCCAGCCGGAAGCCTGCGTCGGGAGGGCCTCAGACTGGGGCATTTTGCCCCGTTGAGCAAGGTTCCTCAGTCTCTCCACTGTTGGCATTGGGGCTGGACCATTCTGTGTTGAGGGGCTGCCTTGTGCGCTTCAGGATGTTTAGCGGCATCCCTGGCCTCTGCCCACTGGATGCCAGGAGCAACTCCCCACCCCTCCAGTTGTGAACAACCAAAAATGTCTACAAACATTCCCAAATGTCTCCTGGGGGAGCAGTATCACCCCTTGCTGAGAACCACTGCTTTGCAGATTATCGGTGGGAGAGGCAGACAGCCTTGTGATGTAGAATATCAGTCAGTGAGCCACTTGAGTTTGCTTGCTGGGAAATCCAGTGAGAAAATGCAAGGTATTTAAAATGAGGAAGCAAAAATTAGTTGGGTATTTTGCCCAAATAATTTCTCACTGTCCTTTTGCCCTGGGTTAACCTCCTTCCTTGTTAAGAACACATGAGACAATGGGGTGCTTGGGTGGCTCAGTCGGTTAAGTGTCGATTTCAGCTCAGGTCATGAACTCATGGTTTGTGGGTTCGAGCCCCGTGTCGGGCTATGTGCTGACAGCTCAGAGCCTGGAGCCTGCTTCGGATTCTGCGTCTGCCCCTCTCCTGCTTGTGCTCTGTCTCTCTCTTTCTCAAAAAGAAAATAAACATAAAAACATTTTTTTAATAACAAAAAAAGAACAGATCAGACAATAGCTGTTCCTTGGCGTAATGAGGACTCCTCGGGGGCCTGGGACCGGCATGGCAGGAAGCACAGGGTTTAGGGGGCTGGGTCCTAATCACTTCATACTGGAGCTTCCTGGGTGACTGGGGGAGGGAGGACAATGTCAAAACCTTGGATTTGGCAGAAGAGCTAGAGATGAGGCCCAGGGCATGGCAAGGCTGGTGGGTGGCTGCCAAGGGGTGGGGAAGGGAACAGTGTGGAGCAGGGAGTCCCTAAAGATGTCAGGTGATGGCAAGTGTTGCCACAGGTTTCTGTCCCAGGAAGGACATCGAGTGTGAATGTCCTTGAATCAGAGCCCAAATGAACCCCTTCCTGATGGTCTCTTTCTACCCCTGGCTGACTCCCATCTCCAGCATGACCCAGACATATGAACAGGAGGTCCCACCTATACAAGCAGGGATTATAAGCTTGGGGCTTACAGGTGATCATTTGGGAAGGGGACATAGCCAGAAGCTGAAGGCTTCCTTCTAGCTCTCAATACTGTGCTTCATCTGGACTTCCTTTGTTCCCATTCTTGCTTCCTGTTTTCTATTCCATCTGTCCATCCATCCATCCAACCATCCATCCATCTGTTTATTCAGAATATACTCAGTGGCTTCATTCAGTTCTTGGTAATTGATGGACACAGCCATTTTCTCTAGGTACTGACAGGTCTGGGGACCCAGAACCTATCTGAAGTCACCCAAAATCTTCCTCTCCCTCCACTTCTAAGTTAGCTGAGCCCACACAGGCTCTCTGTGTCTCAGAATCTCACACCAGGGAGCTTCAGAGGTCTCCCCCTTGTGTCCACCTACAACCCATACCTCTCGGTTCCTGACCCCTCCCTCCTTGAGCCTTAGGGTGACCTCTGGGTTTCCAGGGGACCTGACCCTCAAGGCCCCTCCAGTCAAGGCTCTTCAGGTGAAGAAAGCACCGATGGTCTTTTTCAGGCTTCTCATCTCTGAGGGGCCCCAGCACTGTGACAGGCACCGAGGGGGGATCCCTGAGCGTGCAGTGCCGGTATGAGGAGAAATACAAGGCATTTACCAAATACTGGTGCTGACAACCATGCTTGCTACTTTGGAACCAGATGGTGGAGACCAGAGGGTCTGAGGGAGAGGTGCGGAGTGGCCGTGTGTCCATCATGGACCATTCTGCAGACCTCACCTTCACAGTGACCTTGGAGAACCTCACTACAGATGATGCAGGGAAATACAGATGTGGGATCGCGACAATACTGCGAGAAGAAGGACTCAATGGCTTCCTGCCCGACCTCTTTTTCCAGGTTCAAGTGTTTGTTTCCCCCAGGTAAGACCCTACTTTCCTCCGGTGCCCCTGAAGAAGGGATCTGAGCTAATTAATGCCTGCAGAGCACCTGAGGAAATCTCAGCTCGGGAGAAAAGAGCCAGCCCCAGTGTTTGTGCCTTAGAGACTCAGTGGGCGCGCTGTGTGGGTGTGAGTGTGTGGGAAATATGGGTGGGTGGGAGTGTGTGTGTGTGAAAGAACACGTGTGTGCATGCATGTGTGAGAGAGTGTGTGTGCGAGTGAGGGTGTGAGGGACAGTGTGAGTATGACATCCAAAGCCCCTGCTGTTGCCCCAGGTCCTGACAATATTTGTGGGCCTTGAGGACTGAGGCTGGTGTCGCTGCAGAGGGTCCTGTGACATGTGCTTCTATCAGGCCCAAGGGGCTCCTGCCGCCCTCCTGTCCTCACAAGACTGCGTGTCTCCACCTTCAACCTTCCTTGAATCGACCTCTCCGATGTTCTGCCAAGGGGGACCAGGCAGGATGGCTGCACTGGCTGGAGAGGGGGCACCTGAGGTCTCACTTTTGTGCCAACTTTCAAACACTCCTGTTTCCAGTGAGATGAGGGACACTGAAATGCTTCATGGGGAAGGCGATGGCTCTCTGGTCCTGGTTTATAACCTGTCCATCTGCAGAGCAGATTGGGATGGCGTGGGGTGGGGATATGCCACACTCTGGCCAGGTCTGGGTCTGGCAAAGGGGAGACAGTGGTCCCGGAACATCCAGCCCAGTCCCTTCCCTGAGTTCCCCCTGCTTTGTGAACTCAGAACCCTGCAGGTGACAGGTGCCTAGCTAGGGAGAATCATGCACCGGGCACTGGGCCTCTGTTTTTCACCATCAGCCTTCACGATAGCCTCCAGCAGCAAGAGCTCTGTGACATTGGGACCTCCAACGTCCCTGGTAGTGAGCACAGATCCAGCCAACACCAAGGTAACATGCGTGTGTCCCAGTGTCCTTTACCACTGCCTGGCTCCTTCCCTAGGGAGGGGCTTCCTAGATGCAAGTTTCCTCAACTATTCACTTATTCAACAAGCATTTAATTTGCTTGTTATGTGCCAGGAACTGATGTAAATGCTAGGAAATCCCATTCAAATGGGTAGATTTAGACAATGGGTAAATGGATAGAAAGACAGACAATTAGATGATACGGATAGTTGATGGATGGATGGATGATGGATGGATGGATAGATGACAGATGGATGGAAAGATAGATAGATAGATAGATGGAAGAAAGATGTCCGTTAATAATAATTCCTGCGGAGGAGAATTAAGCAGGTGTCAAGGATAGGGTGATGGGGCATGTGGGAAGATTATGGGACATGATGAAAGGAATCAAGATTCATTGAAAACAAATAACCAAGAGACTGTTTCAGTCTGAGTTTCTTCAAAATCAGATCTTGAGACAAGGACTTACGTGCAATTCATTTATGGAGAGGTGATCCCAGGAAGTATAGTGAGGGAGCTGGGAAGTGGAAAAAGCCAGCAAAGTGTAACTTTGACAAAAGGAGCTATCACACTAGTAACTGGGCTCTGTCCCACTGGGTGCCCTGGGAGATACCACATAGGACATAAGACATTCCTCAGAACTCTCCCACTAAGTGGTGAAGAAGTTGAGGTAGTGATCCACATACATCTATTCTCATGGTGGAGGAAGATGGCGGGCTTTGCTATTTTCTTAGAGTAATGAAGGAAGGCCTCTCAAATGAAGAGACATTTGAGCAGAGACCTGAAGGAAGCAGGAAAGCCAACCAAGCAAGAATCTGGAGAAAGAATATTGCAGGCAGAGAGAGGGTCACTCTTGGGACCATGGATTCTGTGGCACTTCTGGCCTATTCTGCTCAGCAACCACACACTCCTATAGCTAGAGAGAGCCCTCAGGCAAAGAGATGAGCGAGTTGGAGGTGGGAAACCACTGGCGTGTCCAAGACTACCCACAGCTGCCCAGAGCTCAAGCAGGCAAAGAGCACATGAACCAGGGTGCCAACAGGGTTTGCAAGAGGGGCCCAGTGCATCAGTGGAGAGGGGCAGGCATCAGCCAACCCTTCAGGCTGCGAGCCTGGCAAGGGGTTGGGAAGGTAAAGAGCTTAAACAAAAGCCCAGTGTGGGGGAGGGGACACAACATTTGTGAGAAGCTGAGGTGGTGTTAAGTACTGGGACTCAGGGTGTGAGAGGATTGCCAATGAGCTGAACTTGGGGGGGGGTCACTCCTGGGGCTTGATGTTGTTGAACAGTTTCGGCAGAAGAGCTGCTCCCATGATGGACAGTATTGAAGGTGAGTCAAGATGAATTTGAGCTAGGAATTCACTCAAAGGGGGCATTTCATCCTTGAAGTCGGGGCCAGCAGGAGCTGAGTTCCTGTGAGTGTTGAGGACTGTGGGCTCAGAAAGCTGTTTCCGGGGGTCTCCCTTCCTCTCCGTTCTTCACCACTGCATCCTCTTGCGTCTGCTGCGTCCTGACGCTCAAGGTCAACTCTTGAGCTGAAGGACAGGAGTCTGTGGCCCTCAGCATGGGGCTGTCCGGCCCTGATACCAACCAGCTTGGACATTGATACTGACTTTTGAGGCAATGGGACCTGAGCACAATAGCAGGTGGGGAAGAGGCAGAGCCTGGGCCTCCTGTGGAGGAGGAAACTCCTGCCAGTCACCGTGTTCCTCCTACAGGTCCCTGCCTGACCGCGTCCACTTCCTGCTCCTCATATTCCTGAAGGTGCCCCTGCTTCTGATTATGCTCAGTGCCGTCCTCTGGGTGAACAGGCCTCAGTGGGCAATTTGTGGGAAACACAGTCAGCCTGATGACGACGGCCTACAGCCCTCCTTGCCCATCGATATCCTGTCCAGAGACATCACTGTTCAGACTAGAGAAGGAGGAACTTCTGCCCCCAAACTTTATTTCTCTTCTCACATTATTGCCAAAAACTTGTAAGCAAAGCAAAACGAAACAAAACAAAACAAAACAAAACAAAAAACCTTGAAAACATGTAATGAAATATATCGCACATACAAAAATGTGTGTATAATGTAGATGTGCCTGGTGATTGGCTGGGCAGCACGTGGGAAACATTCCACAGGACCCCTAACTTGCCAGCAGAAATTGGTGCCAGGCACAGACTAGTTGGTCAAGGGATCCCAAAGTGAGGGCCCACTTTTGGGTGACCTCGCCCTGCTGAGAACCCTCAAGGCAGCCTCTCAACTCAACATTCCTTCCTTTCTTCACTCGCTCACCAAATATTCACCAAGAGCCTATATAGCGAAGACTTATTTCTAGATTATGGGGATAGAGCAATCAACAAAACACGAGCTTTGTGTTCTAATAGCTGGTTTCAGAAAATAAAGAAATAAATAATACTGGTTTGTAATAAGTGTCATGGAGAAGAAAGGGTAAGAGTTCAGAGGATGGGGTGACAGGGGACAGGGACAGCCTCTTGGGTAAGAGCCTCAGGCAGGTGAGGGAGGGAAAGTGGAAGGGCTGAGCAAAAGCAAAGCTCAGGGCAGGTGAGCACCGTGACTGAGGCCAGTGGGGCAGGAAGCTGGGGAGTCAGGTAGATGTGGACAGTCCAGGCAAGCTTTGAGGGGGGGGGGGTGGGCTGCGTCTTCTGAGAGATGGGGAGCCACTGAAGGATTTCAGCAGAGGAGGCTCCAGGATCAGATGTGAAGATGCCAAGGCATTCACTTGAGGATTGGTTCCTAAATGATCTCTGACCTCTGAGAAATCACCAAAAACAACCCCAATCTGAGCTGGGTTCCTGGGAGTGTTGATGGCAGGAGATGGGGTGGGGCTTAGGGTAAAGAAGCTCTTTCTGAAAGCCAGATCCTGCCCCGGGGCAACCCTCTATCTCCTCTCAGTATCACCCACCTAACCCCCAAAGTCAGCTGTTGAGCTGAGAGGCTAGGGGTGAGTATATCCAGATATCCAAGTCTAGCCCAAATGTGGGTTATTAGGTCCACGGGATCTTTGATCAGAGAGACTTGGGGGGGGCAGAAAGGAGAGACCTGGGGCCTCGTCTTGAGGAGGCAGCTCACCGTCTGTCACCATGTTCCCCGCAGGCCCCTGTTTAGCAGCGTCCACTTTCTGGAGTTCCTGGTCTTTGTGCAAGTGCCTCCACTCCTGACCGTGCTCAGTGCTGTCCTCAGGGTATCCTCCCCCTTTGTGGGGACCCCAACTAAGAGATGCTTCAGTCCTTCATGCCTTTTGATATGCTGCCCAGACATATAACCCTTCAGATTAGAGAAGAAGATAAGATATATTACATCTTATTTATCCATTTTTCTGTTGATGGCTTTGGGTTGTTGCCCATTTGGGGCTTTTCCACAGCCAGTGCCACTGTGAACATTTTTATACAGGTCACCTAATATATACGTGAAATAAGTTCACTAAGGTAGATGCTTAGGGATGGAATTGCTGGGTTTTAGGGTTTGTGCATGCTCAACCACACTAGATAATGCCAAATGATTTTTCCAACCCCATTAACTGCCCCAGTTAATGCTCCCATCAGCAATGGCTGAGAACCCCCATTGCTCTGCCTCTCTGTGAGTACTTGGTTGGTCAGACCTTTTAGTTTTGGGGTTTTGCCATTTTGAAATAGTTTTCATTTCACAATTTACAGGATGGCCAGACTGTGCAGCCAAGGTCAAAAGGCAGGTAAGCGTGACCCAGGAAAGAGGTCAGTGCAGGATTCGAGGTCACTGAGAACAGACAACATGCACACCAGGCTCAAGGGGAGTAGGGTTTACTTACAGCACAAGGAGAGAGAGAGGGAGCCAGGCTGTGCATCTGTTCCTACAGCTGGTGTGTCCACTCTACAGTCAGCATGGGCAGTGTGGTCGCATGCACCCCAGTTGTCTTGCACAAGAATCCAGACTCCTTCCCAGTGAGGTCTGAAGTATAGGAAACTGGGGTGCACCTGAGGGTCACTGACTCTAGCACTCAAGCAGAACAAAGTAGCATTCAGTGAACCTGAAAGGGATTCCCACAAAAGTCAATAAACCCAGCACAGTCCGTGTGGGATCCTGTCTCCCGGTGAGGATGTGTTCCAGGCACATTCTTTGTGGGCAAGAAGAAGTCAGGGAGGAGGCTGCCATGCCCAACCTTCTTGTGGTTTTGATTTAAGTTTCTCTGGCTGCCATCATGTTGAGAACCTTTTCACTTTCTTTTTTTTTTTTTTAATTTTTTTTTTCAACGTTTATTTATTTTGGGACAGAGAGAGACAGAGCATGAACGGGGGAGGGGCAGAGAGAGAGGGAGACACAGAATCGGAAACAAGCTCCAGGCTCTGAGCCATCAGCCCAGAGCCCGATGCGGGGCTCGAACCCACGGACCGCGAGATCGTGACCTGGCTGAAGTTGGACGCTCAACCGACTGCGCCACCCAGGCGCCCCAAGAACCTTTTCACTTTCTATTGCATTTCCCCTTCTGTTCAAGTTTTGCCTACTGTTCTTACGTTAGCTCTCTTTTCCTTACTGGATTATAGGACTTGTTGGAATCATACTCTTGTTTGGTAAAATTTTATCAATTATACATTTTTCATATGTGCTCACATAATTTGTGGCTTGTCTTTTCATTCGGGAGTCTTTTCATAAATATAGTTCTGAATTTTAGTGTATTTGAATTCATCAAAATTATTATGGTTTGTGCTTTTGGTACCATAATTTAGAAACGTTTCTTATCCCAAAGTTATAAAAATAACCTCCTATATTTTTTCTTAACAGTCTAAAATTTTTGCAGTTCACATTTTAAGTCCTTGATCCAACTGGGATAGGGTTTTTTTTTCTTCTGTGATTTGAAGTTGGAAGCATTTTCCTTTTTCTCCATATGGATAACCACATATTCCAACATATTTATCAGTTTTCCTTCTTCCCCCATTTACCTGAGTTATATCAGGTGTCCAGGTAAAAACAGGTCTGGTTATGGGTGCTCTATTCTGTTTAATTGGGCTACTTACTTATCTGTGTTCATTACCATATTGTCCTAATCACTATAGCCATATAAAGGCCCTCCACATTTTTCCTTTGTTTAAAAACTAGAAATAAGATAAAAAGATAAGAAGAGAGATTAAATAGGGTCAAGAGACTCATAATATAATATCAAAAATGTTCAGGATCTAACAGAAATCATTCACCTTGCCAAGAACCAGCCGTCTATAGATTCAAGGCAATCCCTATCAAGATTCTAATGGCATTTTTTACAGTAGTAGGGAAAAAAAAACTCCTAAAACTTATGTGGAGCCACAATAGACCCTGAGTAGCCAAAGCAATCCTGAGAAAGAAGAACAAAGCAGGAGGCATCACACTTCCTGATTTCAAGCTATATTATAAAGCTATAGTCATCAAAACAGTATGGTACCGACATATAGACAGACAAATAGACCAATGGAACAGAACAGAGAGCCCAGAAATAAACCCAAACATATATGGTCAACTAATGTTTGACAAGGGAACCAAGAATATGCAACGGAGAAAAAGCAGTCTCTTTAGCAAATGGTGCTGGGATAATTAGATATTCACATGTAAAAGAATAAAACTGGATTCTTTTTTTTACAGCCCTCACAAAAGTTAACTCAAAATGGATTAAAGATTTAAATGTAAGGTCTGGAACCATGCAGCTCCTAGAAGAAAGCATGGGAATAAAGCTCCTTCACATGGGTTTTGGTAATGATATTTTGGATATGACACCTAAAGCACAAGCAGCAAAATAAAAAGGAAGCAAGTGGGACTATGTCGAACTAAAAAGTTTCTGCACAGCTGATGGGAAACTATCAACAAAGTGAGAAACAACCTATGGAATGGGAAAAATATATTTGTAAACCATATACCTGATAAAGGGTTAATATCCAAAATACATAAAGAATTCATACAGCTCAAGAGCAAAAAAACAACCCAATTAAAAAATGGGTAAAAAGCCCGAAGAGACACTTCTCCAAAGAAGCTATATGAAAGGTCAACAGACATGAAAAGATCCTCAGCATCACTAGTCATTACGGAAATGCAAATTAAAATCACAATGAGATATCACCTCATGCCTATTAGAGTGGCCAAAATAACAAAGACAGGATATAACCAATGTTGCCAATGGATATAGAGAAAAAGGAAACCTTCTGGTTGATGGACATATAAATTGGTGTAGCCACTACAAAAAACAACACAGATTATCCTCAAAAAATTAAAAATAGAAATACAACATGATACAGCAATTCCACTTTTGGGAATATATCCAAAGGAAATGAAAATACAAACTCAAAAAGATATCTGCATCTCCATGTTTATGGCAGCACTGTTTACAATAGCCAAGACATGGAAATAATCTAAGTGTCCAGGGGCGCCTGGGTGGCTCAGTCGGTTGAGCATCTGACTTCAGCTCAGGTCATGATCTCACAGTTCGCAGGGTTCGAGCCCCGCATCGGGCTCTGTGCTGACAGCTCAGAGCCTGGAGTCTGCTTCAGACTCTATGTCTCCCTCTCTCTCCCTGCCCCTCCCCCACTCATGCTCTGTCTGTCTCTCTCCCTCTCTCTCAAAAATAAACATTAAAAAAAAATTTTTTTTTAAATCTAAGTGTCCAATGGATAAAGAAGGTATGGTATAGATTTACAGTGGAATATTGTTCTGGAATAAAAAAATTAGGAAATACTACCATTTGCAAAAATAAAGATGGACCCTGAAGGCATTATGCCAAGTGAAATAAGTCAGGAAAGGCAAATACTGTGTGATCTCATGTGTGGAATCTAAAACAAAAACGAAAACAAAAAATAACCAAATTCATAGTTACCAGAGGCAAAAGTGGTGGGGGGGAACTGGAGGAAGGTGGTCAAAAGGTACAAATTTCCAGTTATAAGGTAAATAAGTACTAGGGATATGCTATACAACATGATGCCTACAACTAACACTGCTCTATGATATATAGAAAAGTTGTTAAGAGAGTAAATCCTAAGA